CTCAGTGCTGTTACTCTTGACAAGGAAGGCTTCAGCAGTATTAATAATGGGGGTGCCAACATATTTTTTTTCTTTAAAAAATCATTATTACAAAAAGAAATAGTAACACAATTGTGTAAAAATAAAAATACAGAGCTTGCCCATTTGTTTAAGGCCAAAATATGACTCATTATACGTGTGGTTTATTTTAAGTATGTTTTTGTTTTTAGCTCATTGTCATTAAGGATATCCCAATAATTTTTGAGTATTTTATAATAATGTGCAAGCCACAAGGTAATATACACTGACACCGAGAGTGGGAGGGTCGGCCCTCGTTGTGGGCTTGTTTACCTTTTTATTATACTTCATGCAATTTAATATTAAACCGACTACTGTATTTTCACCGGTTTGTTGAATGTATTTGATACCTGTCCATACTGATTTGAGAGACCTGTATTGAGTGCTGCGATATGTTATATTGTTAAATTTCGAGTCACTAGTATAAGTATTGCTTGGAAAGGATTACACATGCATGGCCGCTACAAAAGCCACATTTGTGAGACTGATACAAGTGACTCAGTGCGACCTGAGGAGCCAAATAATTTAGCCTCAATGCTCAGAATAATAGGCTCAGCAACCAGAACCAAGTGAACTGAAATTTCGAAGAGAATTTGTGTAGTAGCTCTTGAACCTGACGTGCACAGATCACAAAGCGGAATGAAAATTCAGAACACAATCAGACCCAGTGGAAGTAAGAAGAAGGAAAATAGCGATGCATGTAAGGCCTTGCCGAGGCTTGAACGTAGCCTTTGATGTCAACTAATTCAGTGGGGTAACTGGAGACTGGAGAATGTATTCCTCTGAAATCAACCACAGGCTCCTAGCTTTGAATGCACCCGTGGGTTCAGCTTGAATGAGGGAACTTGAAAGCATGACATCTGGATCATACCATGAAGTGGAATGTAAATCTGTTGAATTGCTGGGGTCGTATTCTGTATTTTCTATATTTTGTGATGCTCTTTTAGGTTGATATGTCTTGTTGCATGCTGTGCACGCAAAACTGTTTTTCTTTTCATGATCATGGCATCTGCCCATGCATATGCATATGTGCTTAGTGATGCCTTTTCACATGAATTAATGCAATTTTTGATGGATTGAGGTCACTAAAAAAAAGTGTTTTTCCAAGTCTGCTCATCAGTACTGGAATTACAAGTGAGAAAGCCACAGGCAATCAACCTCAGTAATTCGAATAAGTTTAAAACTACAACACATTAACCTGACAGATATCTGCCTGCCTAAGATAATTCAACTAAGGCACTGTGTATTTCAAGACACCCAGCAGATCTCGCTGATTAAATGAAAGAAACTTGCTTAGATGGCTTGAAGAACGTTATCCTCCCATTGCGCTAAAGCAGCTTAAATGAGTGTTTACACAGAAAGTGACGAGTTGATGAAGAAGCTTCTGTGTGCGGTCTCTCTCTAAACTGTATCATTTGACTTAGCGGCTGCTTCTTGATGGATGGGGGCCATCTGAATCCACTGTTTTGCAAGAGCTATGGGAAAACACTTCTTCTGTACGCCACACTTCCCCCAGGCTGCTCTGACAGGTTGATTTATTCAGAAAGAAGCAGTGTGTGATTGTCTGAGGCCTAGAGCTCTCCTTCCTGGGCTCCTCACTCAGTGCTTCTTGTTTTGCTGTGACTTCTCAAGCAGTGAAGACTCTTTTTCTGGTTTGTCAAGTTCCTCCCTAACATGAAACAGGGTTTTTTTTTTTGACCTGTGTTTAGTAAGCAGGTATTCTATGTCTGTTCTATGGAATCAGGATTTTTTGAGCTTTCATTGGGAGTGTCAGTTTGGCCCAATCCCATTTCTTCTTTTTACCCCTACCCCTTGTTTTCGAGTGTCACCCTAACCCCTTGGAACTCAGTTACAAGGGGTGGTGGTTGAAATCTTGTCCTATGAAATGGGACCCTCAAATTAATACTTCATTAACAGCTACTAGCGCTGCTCTTTAGGCAACACTGCCAGTCTGCAGTGACAGCAGAGGAGGGTAAAGTTCAGCTCCTCACTGCTGGGCTTTAGTTACATTTAGGGCATCATATGCCTTCAAAGAGGGGGACAATTATTTATTATCACCCACCCCTAATTCTTCAGTGATATGAAGCTGAAGTCAGATATTCACCAGCTTCTTGTTCGAATTTTCCCGTTCCACCTTAAATAGTACAGCAGCTACATTCTGGTGTTTCAGGTGTCAGAACTGCTGGACTATTTAAGGTGGAACGGGAAAGTTAGCTAGCTAGTTACCGAGACTTTAGCATGCTATTAGCGATTTTTTATGCTTGTTATGAAGAAAACGACCATAATACACTGAAACGACATTAAACTAAGATAATGCAACGGTTATTGTAATTTTTAACAGAGAAAATTCTCACATTTGTGGGTTTCTTTGGTCTCTTGTTCAGCCATCTTGCCAGTTTTTCATTTTTTCTCATATCACTCTGTCTGGAGTCTCTGAAGAAACCTCCATTTGGAGGGCCATGTAGCCCTAACACTTCGCCCTACCCCTTCTATCTCAACAAAAATTAGGGCATCCTACCCCTAGATGTGAACGCGCGAAACAGAGGGCTAAGGGCTGAGTGGTAGGGGCAAGGGGTGAAATGGCATTGGGCCATTGGAGGTCAGAAAGTAGATGTCCCTTGAGCAGAATTAAGTAAAAACAGATTGCTTAAGGATAACTCAGCCACAGAGCCAGACAGGCTCAACAGTGGTTCAAAGCTATTAATTGCAGTTTAAGATACAAAAATGTAAGGGGAGGTATTTTGAATGTCACCTTGTGTATTTTATAGTTCTGTTTTGCTTCAATAAAACCACTGACATGAATAAAGTATAATACATTTTTTGATAAGACTGGGAAAGTTTATTTTTGCAGGCATGAACTGCAGTCAAAAGTGATCAGTCACAATATAGTGCTGCGCAAAAGTCTTAGGCACTTGAGCACATTGTTCAAAACTTTTTTTCCTTTGAAATACATATGGTTTTGCCAGTAAAAACACCAATTTATTATGAAACAGAGGTTGATGTTGTAAGCTAGTTTGGTCCAGATTTCTCCTGAACCCCTCCAGCCATAACATGGATAAATAAAATTCCATCCCTAGCACACCTGATAGAGCCATATCAGGTATTGGATGATAACTACTGTGAATACTAGGCTTCCTTGAGAAGAGAGAAGGAAATGGTTAAACGAACACATTAACATATATAAAATGATTTGTATTTGTATTAAAGTTATTTTTATTTGTTCAAATATTACTGTTTTCCTGAGCAAATAAATGCTTAAATACCTTTGCACTGCACATTGCAAGGTTAAATTGCAGTGCTCAGCATATCGCTCATATTTAAAAATCATAATAGAAATATTTCATGCTCAAGGATTGTGACAATATCACATCACGGGGGCTCATGTTGGCTAATGATATATTTATTGCTCAGTGAATTAAGAGGCCTTGAGTCAGTCTGTGGAAGTGAACGCAGTCCCCTCAGAGGACATGTCCACACGCACACATACCAACCTGCTGGATTAACGCACCTCAGCAGGGCTCCGTGGAGCTCCTCTATAACCTGCCTTTCGCAGCAACTGAGGTGCCCAGAAAATTACTTTGGAAAGGCTGACTGGAGGGATTATTAAATTACGCCCGAGCCATTATCTACGAAGAGAGTTGGAATTATTCACAGCTATCTACTGACGGGGTCCGTGAAATCGTCCAGCTGCCTAGGGCTATTTTTGTAGGCAAGCCCAGCCACAGGCGACTCCCTGACTGCTATAAGTCACTCCTGTACTGACTGACTGCAGAGTGCAGTTGGAGTCGTGCTGACATCAGATGCGCTGAGGCATCATTTGGTCCCAAGGGTCAGTCTGCGAGGCAGCAAGAGCATTAAAACTACCTGCTGGAGGTAAACCAATGGCCCGCTGCACTAATGAACAGTCTTCCCATTAACCTAAATCCCCCCTAATGGCCTGTAATTATCCAGAGTGCATTGTCAGCTAGGGACATCTATTCACAGAGGGCCTACCTACCATTTGTCTTATTAATGTAAATGGCCATGTGCAGGAAATGCATTAAACAAATACTCTTTTATTATAACCGAAAAGCTGGTTGATGAGCAAAGGAAGATAAATATACAGAAAAGCTGAAAATGCCCGTTACTTCTTGACCAGCCAAATGTAGCGAGAGCTTCTTAGTACATATTTTGCTTTTTGTACTGTTTCATGGGTGACTTGGATGAATAATATTTTGCCTAGAAGTGATGGCTGGTCCCTGTGGGCTTGTTACACCATAAGAAAGCATGTAAAGAAGAGGCCAGCTATATTAGACGCCTTTACACGATCACATGGGCAGGCTATAACATGCGGCATGTGGTCTGAGGAGGTGGGAGGACATGTTTGTTTAGTCTGCTGAGTCCTGCTCCCGGTGCGAACAGGACCAAATGTGCTCCAGCAGTCCTGATGGTGTTTTTCTGCCGCTCCGGCACTCCCACTCACGTCCACTTTCAAAACTCGTCCATATTTCATTTCGTAAACAAGTCATCATGTTCCAGTGTGTCAGCTTTAAAGTCCTGCTGCTTGGTTTGCGAGTTTCTAGTTCTTATGAACATGCCGTTTTTCCCAGAGTCCCCCGTTGGTGATGTAATTACCCGGGACATTGCAGATCTGATTAGGAGAATTCATTTTAACTTCCAGTGGAAATGAATGTCGAAGCTGTCAGAGGCTCATTTAACAGTCTGATGTATCATTTTTCATTCCCGCGTGCTGAAACACAGAGCGTCTGTTCTGATGCAAATGGATGCGATTTTGAGTGAGGAAGTCACAAAATGATCTCATTCATTTTAATTAAGTTAAGAGCACAAAGCTCTAGCTTTTCACCCAGCACATACAGATACATACAGTCCCCACTTCTTCAGATAGAGCGAGTGCCTTCTCTGCATATCGTACAATGACGACCCTTTTTACTGTGTGTCCTCAGGGGCAAGGAGAGGCTTCTGCAAGAGGCACAGCCATGGAGGGGGACTGCCTCAGCTGCATCAAGTACCTCATGTTCATCTTCAACTTCTTCATATTTGTGAGTACCTCTCCTTTATCTTCGTTCCTTAATTCGACCAGCGTCAGAGGAACTTCTACATAGCAAAAAATTCCAGTGGTCTTCATAGTGAGATCTTTTTTATTCCAAGCACAATACAAACAGTGCAGCACAGGCATAAGATGATGGTTCAGGCTTTGAATCATGTTTTGAGTGTGTTTATCGCCTCCTGTTTTCTTAAGCAAGTTTAGTGTTTAATAGACGGTTTCTGGGCCTGTGTGTGGCCAGCAGGTCTTGTTTTCCTAAAACCATATGTGGTTCAAAAGTCTGTGAAACCTCAGAACAGTCCAAGTTGCCACCTTCTATCAGCTTCGCTTCAAAGGACACACATTCATCTTGTGCCAAAGAATTTTGGTTTTGACCAAGAACACGCTGTTTCGTCTTTTCAGAGAGAGGATCGTGTTAGCAGTCTTGTGAACTTCCCTTTTCGCCACTCTAATGGTGTGAAAAATGGAAGACTAAAGACGAGTCATGAAGCCAAGTCCTGAAATCTTCCTCTAATTGTCCATAAACACTGAATGCAGAGGATCAATAGATCATCTTAGTGCATCTAACAGTCAGTGCTGTTTACTAGGGATGTTACAATACACAAATTTCATGAAACAATATGACACAATAATTTTGTCACAGTTTATTGTTTGACTACCATCATGTCTTCATAGAAATGTCTATGCATTCAGTGACCATCTTCGCAACGCCCCCGGGTAGTTATTTCCAGTCATACCAGACCAGACTTCTATTTATTTGAATAAATCCAGAACTAAAAACCGCATTAATGTTTGAAAATATAGTTGTAATCATTGGTAAAATGTGACATAAATATTATGCACTGTTTGGCACAAATAATGAGCAATTAATGCGCAAATAATGCACAAAACCACACTTGTTCAGCTTGCTTGGCTCATGCACATGGACATATCTCCACAATGAAAAAGAGCATTTCTCACTTGCAGCTTAACCAGCAAGCTGTTTGACTCAGACTCACTGAATGGCAGGACTTTCTCTATAAACAGATGCCACGTTTAGAGTTACGAGTTTTCCCATTCATTTTTTCAACAAGTGACCACTTTTTATAATACTTTTATCTCCGCCTTTATAATGTCTCTGCCAGTATGGTAGCTTTGGCTAACATATTAGCTTCTGGCTAGAACATTAGATGTGTAACTTTTATTAGATTTTGTAACTGTTGTTACAAATTTTGTGTTGTTTTTGTAATGTAGTTTAACTGAACTGAATCGAATACTGAGTTTTGTGAATTCTTACTCTACTATTATTGTCGTTTTTGCACATTTGATGTGATTTTTGATATGAAAGTAAAAACAATAATCCATTTATTTCCAAAACAGGCCTGGTGAAACCTAATTAATGATGCAGTAATTAACAATAAAGTAATTTTCTCAGAAGACAAGCGAATTTGAATATATCACTGCTGTCAGAACAAAACCTCGTATCTCCAAAACGACAACTTTGCAGGAGAAGGAAAAAACTTCCTTTACTTTTAATGTAAGTCAATGGAACCAGACTTTTTTCCAAGTCATTTTAGATCATTTCTTTTAGTCCATTCATGGTGAAATTTACACACAATGTAAAGGGTAACAGGCATTTTCAAATTATGTCAAAAACTGAAAAATGGTTTTGTCCCGACAACAGCGATTTATACAAAGTGTGAATGTTTTTAATAGAATGGTGGAAACATTCCAGTTTGTCACAAATATTTATTTATTTATGGCATAAAATCTAACTTTTATCAGTTTACAGTGTATCTTGCCTCATCCTTATTAGAAAAATAAAAAAATAATATGCATAACACCACTATTGTCTACAGTAGGGGAGTCCAACTCATTTCAGGTAACAAGCCATATTATGCTCAGTCCCATGTCAAGTGGGCCACACCAAAAAAAATCAGTTTAGTGGTACTATAACTCCTCAAAGATTGGTTTATCATCATTTATCTGACAGAGCAAACTGGTTGAACAGTTGTCGTCTGCAGAACAGATTAGACAGATTAAAGTTAGTGCAATCTTAGATGCTTAGGTCATGTTTTCTGTTAGAAAAGGTCTTTTAGCAAAGCTTAAGAATGAAAAGGATTGCGCATAAACGAGTGCATTAATATTAACCTTCAAACAGATTGTTTTAGTCACAGATGAGAGCGAAGAGAGTCCTATTTAATCTGATTCATTTGTAAAGTTATCAGCAATATCAGTAGGTAGGCTAACAAAAGCCAATTTAGCTAGCTAAACAGTGTTTTGCAAGGTTATTTGTTTTTAGACACCATTTTAAAATGGTTATTAGCAAACACAGTAACCCAGATAAGGTTTAGCTTCCCGTACATCCGCCTAGTTTCACCCTCAGGAATGTCCCTTATGCTAATAATTGACTTTTGTACTGTCATCGCCGTTCTCTCTCTCTCCAGGTTTGTCCTTGACTTTTCCGGAGTTTTTCTTTTCATTTATCTGAAGTAGTGGTGCTTATGTTACACGTACATGTGCACTTTTTCTCACCACACCGGATCTCTCTGTTCACTGTTGGTTATCATTTCTGTGTCGTTATGTAAGTGAAAGAAGAGTATTGAACATATCTGGAGCACTAACTGTTTTGCTGTTGCACAGTGGCATCAAAATGCACTGATGCTTTTTATACTTCTTATAAATGACTTATAATTTTCAGAATGTATCAGTCGTCCACAAAAGGTTGCTGTCCTAGCAGTGGTTGGTTAAGCGTCATATCAGTCATTATTTCGCAAACGGTCGATTACAGATAATTTTATTGTAGAACACGGATTCAAATTCGTTTGACGGGTCATAGACGAGCCATAATTGGGCTGTACGTTTGACACAGCTGTACGAGTCTACACCTGGTCTACAGTCATAAAATAAGTGTTTCTTGATCCGTAGCTTGGTGGTGCTTTTCTGCTTGGAGTGGGTATCTGGGTGCTGGTGGATCCTACAGGCTTCAGGGAGATCGTAGCAGCAAACCCACTGCTCTTCACTGGTGTCTATGTGATCCTGGCTATGGGTGGCATGCTCTTTCTGCTGGGCTTCCTGGGCTGCTGCGGAGCAATACGGGAAAATAAGTGTCTGCTACTGTTCGTGAGTACATTTCATCGTGTTTCCTAAACATGAACTCAAATGGCACCTAGCCAGATATTGCAGATGAAATCAAAGGGATGATATAACTGCTGTATCATGAGTCTGAAAAAAAGGAAATGGTTGACACTTCTGCTTCTTTTTCCACAGTTCTTTCTGCTCATCCTTATCATATTCCTGGCAGAGCTGGCCGCTGCCATTTTGGCCTTCATATTCCGGGAGCATGTGAGTATTGTCTGTATTTGATATGGTCAAGTGCTTGAACTGCTATATATCTCAGTACCTCGCTAATTATGTCTTCCTGTGCATCAAAAGCTCACCAGGGAATACTTCACCAAGGAACTGAAAGCTTATTACCAAGGCAGTAACAGCAGTGACGTCTTTACCGCCACTTGGAATACCATCATGACCTCCGTATGCTAAACCAATCCATATGCATGATTATATTCTGCAGTTTGTGCTGCTGTTAAATTGCTGGAGCTGATGATTGTGTTAATTTGTTGGCCACTCTGCAGTTTGAATGTTGTGGGGTGAACGGCGCGGAGGACTTTGATCAGTACAGCCTCTTCAAACGCCTCAACCCCAGCGCTGTGGTGCCTGAAGCCTGTTGCCAGAGGAATCTATTAACCAACAAAGAGGAATGTCTCAAGGACAGTATGCCCATCCGTAACAAGGTTGGCAAACTGCAATGGCCACTGTTAAAAATGAATATTCATTGGTGAACATATTTGTCCAGGAATGAACAGCAAAAATTAGTGGGCGGTTTTTCTTTTATTTGACAGCGTAAACTTAAAATAAATTTCAGTGCTTATAATCATGTTTAACCCGTATACGTGTGTACAGAAGTAAGCTTCATTTTGCTTTTAAAGTGTAATTATGTAGCTACATATTTACTGAATATGAATTGCATTTACATTTAATTCTCTTTCTGCACCTCAGACTCTTTTTCCATATGTTTTAATGTCAGGAAATGACAAATGTTTTCGTTGGATGTTTTTTCTTTCCACAAAATAAGGCTGTCTGCACAAAAGTAATGTTTTATCAAATTCAAATCAGATTAAACTGCCTGTTCTTCTACTTACAAACATAAATTTATGGATTGATGCTCTACAAGCAAGTAATAATTATATTAAATCACGATTTTGTTATTGCTGTTAATAACTCACATCTAAGGGTTAATCAGTGAGAGGAGCCTGTACTATTTCTAAACTCTAATGTGGTTCTGCGGTGGTGCAGAATGAGGTCATTATGGAAAGGCCTGCCAAAGAAAAAGAATTCTGTGCTGGTTGAAGCTTCTCTGCCTGTGATACTAAAACATGTTCTTTTGAAACAGGGTTGTTACTCAGCAGTGGTGGACTACTTTGAGACCTACATCTATATGGCTGGAGCTCTAGCTATCGTGGTGCTGACCATCGAAGTAAGATTGCAACTTTGAATTTGTTACTGAAATAGAAGCCATAGTACTGTGTTCATCTTAGATGCTTAGAACATGTTGTCTGTTATCCTAAACCTGCAGTGGGAGAACTGTTACAGTGCATTGTGCCACTTTGCCACCTGGTGGACAAAGCAGATAAGGGCCTGGCATAAAAGACAAATGAAAAGCAAACGCCAACATAAAGTGTCTTAGTAAGATGTTGGGCCACCGTAAGCAGCCAGAACTGCTTTAGTGCACCTTAATGTACACCGATCAGACATAACATTATGACCACCTCCTTGTTTCTACGCTCGTTGTCAATTTTATCAGCTCCACTTACTATATAGGTGCACTTTGTAGTTCTACAGTTACAGACTGTAGTACTCTGTGCTTCAGTGGTCAGGACCCCCATGGACCCTCACAGAGCTGGTACTATTTGGGTGGTGGGTCATTCTCAGCACTACAGTAACACTGATGTGGTGGTGGTGTGTTAGTGTGTGTTGTGCTGGTCTGAGTGGATCAGACACAGCAGTGCTGCTGGAGTTTTTAAACACCTCAGTGTCACTGCTGGACTGAGAACAGTCCACCACCCAAAAATATCCAGACAACAGCGTCCTGTGGGCAGCGTCCTGTGACCACTGATGCAGGACTAGAGGATGACCAACACAAACTGCGCGGCAGCAGATGAGCTATCGTCTCTGACTTTACATCTACAAGGTGGACTGACAAGGTAGGAGTGTCAGTAGACAGTGGGTGGACACTGTTTAAAAACTCCAGCAGCACTGCTGTGTCTGATCCACTCGTACCAGTGCAACACACACTAACACACCACCACCACGTCAGTGTTACTGCAATGCTGAGAATGATCCACCACCCAAACAGTACCTGCTCTGTGAGGGTCCATGGGGGTCCTGACTCCTGAAGAACAGGGTAAAAGGGGGTGTTCATAATGTTATGCCTGAGTGGTGTATATTCTACACATCTCAAGAACTGTACTGGAGGGAAGGAACACTGTTCTTCTAAAAGACATTCCCTCAGTTGGTGTTCTGATGGTGGGGAGAGCACATCGGTCTTGAATCATCATTAGGTGTTTAATAGGGTTAAGATCTAATGGTTACAAAGGCCATAGCGTATGATTTACAACATTTTTAAACTCATTAGAACAATCATTGGTCACACAAGCCCTGTAAATGGGGGCATTGTCATCAGTCAGAATAATTTTGGATTGATTTACAGGCCCTATAACAGGACAAGTGGACCCAAACCATCCAATCAAAATGCCTGCAGCAAAACAAAGCCACCAGACCCACTTAGTACTGGGGTCATGCATTCACTCACTGGTGTACGGCACACATGTTCTCTCCCATTTGTGGAGAATATGGTAAAGAATGGCTTATCTGACCACATCACTTTTCTAACATCTCTACAGACCAGAGCCAATGGTTTTTACACCCCAGAACTCACAAATGTTCAGTTAATTATATGCAGCATGCTGTTCTGGAAACATCTGCTCTAGTTATCAATCCCCACCACTTTATTCAGGTTTTTCGCCTAATTGGTCACCTGTCTGCTAGGGCTGTACGATAAATCATATTTTTTATTGTTATCACGATGTGAGTTTCCCTGACAAACACATTGTTAAACCAGTGATGACAGAATATATCGAACCACTTCATACATGCAGCACCATAGAGACGTCACTACATTGCTGATACAAACTGTTAGAAGCCTAATGAGTGTTTTTAGTGCTGGTGTTGAAATGTGCTCTCCTACCATCCAGCTAAACTGCTAATTAGAAAACACATGCGCGGCTCAAAACGACTCCATCCTGAAAAAGCCTGCAAAAACACATTAAACATTAGTTTAGTATATTTATTAGTAGTTTAGTTTTTATTAGTACTGTGTTTAAAGTGTGTGAGGCAGTAATTTCTACTGTCATGACAAACATATTAGATAATATATAATATATTTTTATTTGTTTCTGTAGCCTTTATAGAAATGTTGAGGTTATGCTCTTTCTCAGCATTACAGTGCACAAAAATTGTCCTTGCAGTTCTGATGTAACCCTTTAATGTCCTCACCAAGAAAAAAGCAATGTATTTTTTACTTGTTTGGGGCTATAATAAATACAATTGTTGCTTTTTTTTTCATTTTTTTGACCCTACAATTTTAAAAATATTCACGTCAAACGGTTGAGATGGCACTTTGTGGCATATATAGTGACTCAAAATGTGCTCTACCAAATGGTTGAGCAGAACATTTAAAGGGATAAGCAACTTTTAGTACTTCAGCACTTTTTATTTTGCACAATAGTAAAAATGTTTTTCTAATTTTGTATTTTGCCGTTTGCTTAAAGGAGAGGTTAGATTTCTGTTTACAAACTAAAAAACCTGTACTTGCATTGAATCGAGTCAGAGGCGCACTAATAATTTATTGCTTCTAATATTGTCAGTAAAGCTGTCAGATATCACCAACATTGCATTTCATGTCACTGTCGTACGGCCCTACTGTCTGCATTATAATCTTTCATTCTTTGGTAGCCCGTTTCATTTCTGCTAAGCCGGATTCACTAAAGTATGGAACTGTGATGCAGAGTTGCTGTTGATTCTAATTCCTCTGTTTTCCTTGTTTTTTCTGTCCTCAGCTCTTTGCGATGGTGTTTGCCATGTGTTTGTTCCGAGGGATCCAATAGTCCGTTCGCCGCTGTAAAGAAAGACATTTCAAAAGGGAAATGGCTTTAAAAAAAAGAAGATGTAACAACTGTATATATGTCATCTCTGTGTTTTTGAGTTGGAATTGCCAACAGTGACCAAATTGTACTTCACAGCTGGAACTTTGAGGTACCGGAGCGTAGAATGGAAAGCATTACAAACAAGAGAAGCAAAGAAAATTTCACTCCAGCAGCAGCATCCTTCTGCAGCCCTTTAACCTGAGCGGAGGGAGACCTTGCACTGATATTTGGACGAGTATTTATATATAACAATTAATTCATTTGTACAGAAATAGTGTACATACTTTACCTCCTTCACAGTTGCATCCGAGCCATACTAAAATCTTTCCACGATGGATGTGTATATGTGTGTGCGTGCACGCGTGCGTATGTGTGGTGGTGACCCCACCTTCTGTATTGTAACGTGACGTGTATTGGAATAGTGCATATTTTATGTGATTTTAGGATATGTATGCGTTTGTACTAGTGTCCATAGTACCTATACATGACTTTGATTGGTATTAAACATGAAAATTCCAAAACTGATTCATCTTTCATTCACAGAATGATGCTGCATTCATCACGGTGTCGGTGTTGATTAAATAATGTACTGTTCTTTGAGATCTTGTACCTTTTTGAGTCTGTCTCCTAATTGATGAAGCGTTCCTCTTAACACGTCCACTGAGCTCACTTCACTGGCAGAACCAACTTGATTTAACCCATAGTAGGAACTGATGCAGGGGGCTTCACGTAACCAGTATACACTGTGGTCTACACCAGGGACGTCCAAAACATTTTCAAAGAGGGCCAGATCGGACCACGTCATCATTCCTGAGGGCCAGAATATTATTGGGAAATGATTTGAAAAATATGAAAAATACAACCACATAGAGCAGTTAATCAGACCAAGGGTCGGGCTGGTGAACCATTCTAAGGACTTTGGTAACAGACGAGTCAGAGAGTCAGCGCATATAATAAGAGCTGCTGTGTTTCCTATCACTGTATAAAAGATGCACGAGACTTCTTTCATTGTTGGATTGCTCATTCAGTGCAACTTGGATCAGTTAGCACTTACAACACATTATTGATTTGTTTAATTAGGGTAACGATAAAACGTCTAATGTATTAAGTTTATTCCTATTTAAGCGTTTGCTTGTTCAAAAGTATAATTTGTTAGACAAAATAAAAATCTATACATTTTTGGGTTTGGTACATGTTCTTTACGTATCAGATAAATGCAACGTGCCTCAGTAAACAAGAAGAGCAGATTAAACAGCATTAATAGTCCTGTTTTGTTTGGCTTTAAAGGGTTCATAATTACTGAACTACAGAAATTGCTCTGATAAGAAGATGCTGCTGTGGTTGCAGGTGGTTTAGTTTCATTGACGTCGCCTCCCCCGAACATTTATTGCAATGTCTATGCTTTGTTTCATGTCTATTGATATTAAATTAAGTAGTTTTGACTGTTCTTTGAGTACCTTTTTGAGTGGAATTGATAAAGCGTTCCTCTTAACACGTCCACTGAGCTCACTTCACTGGCAGAACTAACTTGATTTAACCCAATAGTAGGAACTGATGCAGGGGGCTTCGCGTAACCAGTATACACTGTGGTCTACACCAGGGACGTCCAAACCTTTTTCAAAGAGGGCCAGATCGGACCATGTCATCATTCCTGAGGGCCAGAATATTATTGGGAAATGATTTAAAAAACGTTTAATGTCTAGTGATATTAAATTAATTCTCAGTTTGTGCTTTATAGCTGTAATTTTGACTAAATGTTATTCAGTAAATGAAGCTGCAGGTTTAGTCAGAGAATAAAGGCTCTTAAACTTTCGGTAACTTCGTTAACACAGTGCAGTGCATTACACTGTGATTTTTACAGAACTGCTGCCACCATCAGGTGAAAGGAAAATCTGAGATGTTTTGGACGACAGGCCACTTGGTTGGTTGGCACATTGATCCTGGGGTTGGTTGGCACATGTGTCAGCCTTGCCAAGTGTAGGGCTATTATCACTAACGTATGCTGTGAACATACTAAATAGCACGCTTATACAACCAGAACACTGTGCTGTACTACATCACTTCATATTCAATTTTTATATAACAAGTTGTTGTACTTCTCTGCTTTAGGCCATGTGATTAGTGAGTCTATCAAGATGAAAACATGACTTTAAAACAAAACTATTAATGTATTAAATGTTTTTTTTTAATCAGCATAAACTTTAAATTTTTAAAAGACAACATTTAGTTCACTAAATAGAAAAATATGGTTTATAATGAATTGTAATATTTTAATATAGGGTAACAATAAAAACAATGGTAAAATGTCCTCATTTTCTTATTGGTCTTTTATAGAAGCCACTGATAAATGAAGCATTCCTAATGTTTAATTGATTGGTTGCTGTTGAATGTTTACATTTGTGTTTTGGTTTTTTGTTAAAAGCTCTGATTTTTTAATTTGTTGCTTCATTCTTTGAAACTATACACCATGTTGGGGCTGGTTGGCACAAGTGTACAACATGAATCCTGTCCTGACTGCACTTATTCCAGAAAATGTTTCCTGATATTAAAAGTGTCTGTTTTTTAGCGTTTAAGATGTTCAGCTTTCGTTGCTGCGAGTTGGGTTATCCTCATGTGTAGTATGCCCGAGATATACAGCCCAGAGTAAAAACTATGCCAGCCAACCGGCTTTCCCTATTTGAAGAATATGAAAAACAAGTTTTTTATAGATCCACACTGCAATGTGTGAGGGAAGGTGATGAGCATTAATAAACACTCAACTGCACAAATGATTAGTCATTGGTCAATGTAAATACGTTGGTGCATTGCTGTCTGGAAAGTCTTTTAAAAAGGTACTAATTTCCAGGCTGATAACTGATGTGTTTTGATCTTATGAGCTCCTTTTGTGATCCTTGTGCAGGAAGGTTTTTAAAGACATATAGACCACGTATCAAGGAAGAGGGAGCTCTTATATACTTCATTACACATTCCACAGGAAAACTGTTAAAAACAAACAGCAGAGGAACTCAGTTTTATCTGAAAAGATGTGAAAAGCTGCTCTAACTACTCCTCACATACTACCTGATTGGATGCTTTGGTACATCCTAATTTCTGAATCCCTAAGTGACTGTCGGCTTGCTGTAAACAGTGTTCTATGGGAAAAGCCTTTGTCTGTGGATGAGACATTCTACAGAAACGTCCACTTTTCTGTCTCTCCATAGGAGTCACTGGTGTTACCGATCCTCATGGGTGTAACACATAATAAAGGTAACACCAGAGACATTTTTAATGCATTGCACAAAATGGCTGCTACAGAGCATCAAACCACATTTCAATCATGGAACATCCACTAAAATATGTAATTTAATCCATTTGTATTCTGTTTTTTCAGAATAAAGTCGGTCACACCAGTGACTTCAGCTAAAAGCTTCATACGAAATCATGAGCTGAATGAGAAAATCTCTGATAACTGAAAGACACAGTGGACTCACCATGAGCTTTTCTTCATAGATCCTCAGAAAACAGGTACAAGGAAGTCAAGTGATGTCATCAGTGTGATCTTTATTTCAACAACTTTCATTATATATTTTATAATATTTATTTGGATTTTTTTATGTCATTTATTTAAATATTCCATAGTCATGTACAGATTATTGTAGTTAAAATTGCAGAAAGATGTGTTTTTTACTTCAAAATATGGCCTCAGCCTTTACACATGACTGTGGGGACGAGCTCGTTTGTGGTGCTTGGAATTCTATATGATTGATTTAAAAACCAATATTGCTAAATTGATGGATCAAGAAGGTGTGATTGTTAAACTATCTAATTGTTTTATTTTAAAATGTAAATAAATTGTAACCCTAACATATCTATCTGTAATATATCTGTAAATGCTAGGGACACAAAAATGGACGTTTCTGTAGAATGACCAGGATAGTAGAAGCACCTAAACAGCAAACCCCCACAATTCTTCACTCTGACTGACTGGAGTGCTGTTTGTCACTTCTGAACAGTTTTTGTAAATGCCAGACATTCCACAGGAGTGGGATCAGTGAATTGGTCACATACTATCAACCATTATGAAATCTGATATTCTGGCTAAATACTTTAACAGCCATTTACTCACTTGCCAGTTTATCAGGTGCTCTTACCATATAAAGTGCTGCTTAAAAGTTTATGAACGCTTTATCATTTTGTGAGTTTCTACATGAATGTGACCTAAAATATGATGATCAGATATTTTTTGTCATTACAGTAGTTAAAGAGAACCCAATAAAACAAACAACACAAACAATTATATAGTTTTTGATCCATTTATTATACAAAGTTATTCAACATTAAATATCCTTTAGAATTATCGGGGTGGTGTAAGTAATAATTAGGATCAGGAGGTTCCAGCAGGTGACAATCAGGTGTGAGTGTGGCTGACCCTACCCTATTTAAAAAACATCAACCTGAGCCCTCACCATCAAAGTCTGGTCTTTACCACACACATCTGCTACTGCATGCCATGCTGCAGTCAAACGAGATTTCTAAGAACCTCAGAACATTATTTGCCAGTGCTCTTTAGGTTGGAAGTGGTAATAAAACTATTTCTCATCAGTTTGGGTCTCTCTGGTCCACATTCAGGCAGACGTGGAGTGGCCATCCAATGAAAATGACTCCAAGATAAAGTGTAGAATATTCTGGGAGATCACAAGGAACCCCAGACTAACATCTAAGGATCTTTAGGCTCTGTTACTCTGGCTAATGTCAGTTTCCATGAGTCCACAATCAGACAAACACTGAACAAGAACGGCATGTATGGAATGAGATCATAGAGGAACGTCTCTCCAGGAAGAACATTTCTGCCTGTTTTAAGTTTCCTAAAGACCACCTGGATGAGCCAGAGGACTGAAATCATGTTATATGGACAGATACAAACGGATCTTTATAGCTTCTTTATGTACATGGTGCGTTTTCACTTTTAATGACTGGTGTGTGTGATTTAATGGAAAATAATATTACAAACATAAACTATGTTAAGCACTTTGTAGTTCTACAGTTACAGACTGTAGTCCATCTGTTTCTCTGATACTTTGTTAGCCCCCTTTTACCCTGATCTTCAATGGTCAGGACCCCCATGGACCCTCACAGAGCAGGTACTATTTGGGTGGTGGATCATTCTCAGCACTGCAGTAACACTGACGTGGTGGTGGTGTGTTAGTGTGTGTTTTGCTGGTACGAGTGAATCAGACACAGCAGTGCTGCTGGAGTTTTTAAACATTGTGTCCACTCATTGTGCACTCTGTTAGACACTTCTACCTTGTAGAAGTAAAGTCAGAGACCCCCATGGACCCTCACAGAGCAGGTACTATTTGGGTGGTGGATCATTCTCAGTCCAGCAGTGACACTGAGGTGTTTAGAACTCCAGCAGCACTGATGTGTCTGATCCACTCAGACCAGCACAACACACACGAACACACCACCACCACGTCAGTGTTACTGCAGTGCTGACAATGATCCACCACCCAAACAGTACCTGCTCTGTGAGGGTCCATGGGGGTCCTGACCACTGAAGAACAGGGTAAAAGGGGGCTAACAAAGTATGCAGAGAAACAGATGGACTACAGTCTGTAACTGTAGAACTACAAAGTGCACCTATATAGTAAGTGGAGCTGTAGATTGTATTTTGAGACGATACTGTTGCCAGGGTAAATTTATGAATGATTTTGTATGTGATTTCTTTGATATGGTCCATACCTTCTTCCAATCAATTTCGAAGCCCACTGAGAGTGCACTGCAGGTATGAGATACACAGGTCTCTAACGCGTCTATTATTAAATCGTTCTTCACTTATGCTAATTCCAGTGATTGAAGCTCTATTACGGTTATGAAGGGTTGACACTGTTTATCTGTTGTGAGACAGCCTCAGGAGTAGCTTCTGCTACTGTAATTATTTTGTGCTGATTTCAGTAGGCCTTTTATATTTAAGTAGAAAATCAGAGTGTGAATAGAATTGACCATCATCATTTAGCAGTGGACTTACCAGTAGAATATTGCTCCTGCACCAGTTTTCAAAGAACAAACTTTTTCTGTGACAGATGTCTCTGTTATTTAAGATAAAGCAGTGTTTAGGAGAGCGGGTGTGGTCTGTAGATTCTCTGCTGTTCCCTTTGGCGTTTTCAGTCCGCTACCGCAGCGCCATCTAGTGGCTGTGAATGAAAAAATGAAACAGAATTTGTCAACACTCCCATATTGCTTGTTATTTATTAAATGTAATGTTTTTTTTTTCCCAGACCATCTCTTGTGCTGCTTACAGCTGTGATATTTTGATAGATGACAACACTATAATGTAAGTAATCTGTTTATGTTAGTAGGGTGTTTTGTATATGAATTTAGTTTGCTTAAAGCTGCAGTGTGTACATTTTGGGGATTTGGAGACCTCTCTGGTGGAAATGTGTAATTACACACAAAGTGCAGAACAACATATAGGCCCATCCCATTTCTTCTTTTTAGCCCTACCCCTTGTTTTCAAGTGTCACCCTAACCCCTTGGAACTGAGTTACAAGGTGTGGTGGTTAAAATCTTGTCCTATGAAATGGGACCCTCAATTACATTACTTCATTAACAGCTACCAGCGCTGCTCTGTAGGCGACCCTGCCAGTCTGCAGTGAAAGCAGAAGAGGGTAAAGTTCAGCTCCTCACTGCTGGGCTTTAGTTACATTTAGGGCATCATATGCCTTCAAAGAGGGGGGCCATTATTTATTATCGCCCACCGCTAATTCTTCAGTGATCCGAAGCTGAAGTCAGATATTCACCAGATTCTTGTTCAAATTTTCCCGTTCCACCTTAAATAGTGCAGCAGTGACTATCTGGCGCTTCAGGCGTCAGAACTGTTGGACTATTTAAGGTGGAACGGGAAAGTTAGCTAGCTAGCTACCGAGACATTAGCATGCTATATTTTTATGCTTGTCAGCCTTCTTGCAGGTTTTCTTTTTTTCTCATATCACTTTGTTGGGAGTCTCTGAAAAACCTCTGTTTGGAGGGTCATGTAGCTCTAACACTTCGCCCTACCCCTCTATCTCAACAAAAACTGGGACACACTGCCCCTAGACGTGAACGTGCAAAACAGAGGGCTAAGGGCTGAGTGGTAGGGGCGAGGGGTGAAATGGGATTGGGCCTATTGTAGTGTAGGTTGTTTGTCGGCCCGCTTCCCTGAATGGATGAATCGGAGTGGAGAAAACGTTCAGATTTCCCCATCGTCAACATTCCTATAAAACTCAAACAACACATGTAGGTTCACTGGTGGTTTTGATTTGTAGGGAATTTGAAAATCGGTGGAATTCCCTTTGGGTGCAACCAAAGATTTCACAGATTACAGCACACAAAGATTTCTTGTGGAAGCTAATTCTCTCTCAGTGTGTTATGATAACACAGTGGCCACTTTATTAGAAACCCCTCTCTTGTAGCTCCACTATGCTGGTGAACAGTTAGAGACTATAGCTCATCTGTTAATGCTGTTTGTGTGAGGTAGGTGTTTCTAAAAAAGTGGCCACTGAGTGGAAACACAAGATGGGTGTTTCTAATAAAGTGGCCATTGAGTGGAAGCACAAAGTAGGTGTTTTTAATAAACTGGAGTGGAAGCACAAGGTAGGTGTTTCTAATAAAGTAGCCAGTTAGTCCTCGGAGCAGCTTGGAGTCCTAATAAATAAATAAATAAATAAATAAATAAATAAAAACAGACAATAACACATATAAGAAAATACATATACAAAACAAGTAAAAAGTTACATTTTCTGTTGTTTTTGAAAGAGTAAACTGAGCTTGACTGCCTGCTGAATAAAAGCAGAACATTTTGTCCAAATGTATTTATGATAGTATGCTGTATTTTACAGTCACTGGCTGTTACACAGAGTAAAGAATACAGTCCCCACGCATCCATTAGCAGCTCATTAGACTGATCACTAGGAGATAAAGGGGGGTAAAGTTATTAATCCCTTTCACTCAGGAGGGGTGGGGTTTTCAGAAAAGCATTAAACAATCTATAATGCATTAAAGCAGTAATAAAGTCTATCATCTATAATATATGGGCAGGTGCTGCTTACAGTTTGGTCTAAATAGTGTTGTAAACAGTGACGTGCACAGACTTTTGTGTGGGGTGGAATGTAATTAAAATATGGTTTTAGACAAAGTTATTCTAATATTGTGCTATTCAGGGTGTAGATCATATTTTAATTATACAAACGTAATGTATATTTAAGTCTATTTTTCTTAGAACAAATCCGAATAAATGTCCTATTAAATAAAGACAGTCACAATGTAATATTCAAACACTAAATCTACACAGTTAATCAGTCGATTATTATTATTATTATTATTATTATTATTATTATTATTAAACATTAGCCTTTATTTTAAACGTCAAATTAAACGTTGTACCTTCATATTTATGCAGTCAGTAAAAGGTGCAGCTGGTCTGCAAATATGAAAACTATCTCAATAATCCTCCAGATTTGTGAACTAATGATCATTAATCGAAGTCAGATATGAAAAATATTCAAAAGGAGCTAAAAGCTATAAACGTCAATAAAAACACCATTCAGGCCTTAACATATAGGAGCACTTTGTAGTTACAGACTGTAGTCCATTTGTTTCTCTGCATAATTTGTTAGCCCCCTTTTACCCTGTTCTTCAGTGGTCAGGACCCCCATGGACCCTCACAGAGCAGGTACTGTTTGGGTGGTGGATCATTCTCAGCACTGCAGTAACACTGACGTGGTGGTGGTGTGTTAGTGTGTGTTGTGCTGGTACGAGTGGATCAGACACAGCAGTGCTGCTGGAGTTTTTAAACACTCTGTCCACTCACTGTCCACTCTGTTAGACACTCCTACCTTGTCAGTCCACCTTGTAGATGTAAAGTCAGAGACCCCCATGGACCCTCACAGAGCAGGTACTATTTGGGTGGTGGACTATTCTCAGTCCAGCAGTGACACTGAGGTGTTTATAAACTCCAACAGCACTGCTGTGTCTGATCCACTCAGACCAGCGCAACACATACTAACACACCACCACCACGTCAGTGTTACTGCAGTGCTGAGAATGATCCACCACCCAAATAGTACCTGCTCAGGCCACGCTGTGATTGTAACCATGGCAACGTAAACAGCTCACAGGTCTGAGCTCCATTTCTCTATGGCCAGAATGAATAGGGTTTTCGAAAAGTTGCCTCTATCGCCCCCTGTGTTAAATAAAAGTGTTCAGAGCCCAATACGTTTTGTCCTGTGAACATTCTTCTCCCGAATAACACTGGATCCTCTGAATTACGAGGTCGTTAAAGAGGTATAATACTAATATTGCTAAATGTGAGCTAAAGCTACTGCGCATCACTTTGATGTCACTAAGCTACACAAACCTAAGGCGGGCTGTGGTGGGGGTCCTGACCACTGAAGAACAGGGTAAAAGGGGGCTGACAAAGTATGCAGAGAAAATGTAGATTTATCATGGATTGTATCAACCCTGATTTTAATCTCTCTTTGGATAGTGTGTTGTTTGGCTTCAGTCATTATAAAAATAATAAAGTCAAAGAATATTACATTATTAATTTGATCATTCTTTTGGCAAAATTTCATATACATTAATGCAAATTTACTCACTCCAAACCAGATTTTCTCAAATTCGAAATAGAAGCTAAACAATACACAACTTCTATTACCCTCCCCAAAAACAAAAAAGCTGTCAAAACAATGAAAATATGCACCTTATTTAATTTGTTTCTGTGAAAACGTGTTCATTCCCCTGGCTTTCTTTCTTTTTCTTTTTTTTAAACTTTGTTGTTTAAATTTTAAATTTTTATGCAATTTGTTATCTGACTTAACTATATCTGTTCTGCTTTATACTGCTTTTGTACAAATGTGACAAAAAATTATGCAGAGAAACAGATGGACTACAGTCTGTAACTGTAGAACTACAAAGTGCACCTATATAGTAAGTGGAGCTGATAAAATGGACGGTGAGTGTAGAAACAAGGAGGTGGTCATAATATTATGCCTGAATTATATATATATATATATATATATATATATATATATATATATATAACGCTAAAAGTACTACAAGGGTTCTACGCACCTAATATTGTCACTCACCTTCGCACCTGTGTAATGTGATGTGACAATAAACGTGATTTGATTTGCTTTGGAAAGGCTTATGAGTATCTAAGCCTTACCCTGGTGATCATAATCAGTATGTAGTATTCAGACGGAGGGAGGCGTGAAGCGTCCGCTCCAGCAGATGGCGGTACAACCCTCTCGGTTCAGCGCTGAGAAGAGGAATGTGCGGATTTTCTTCCACTCAGAGCAGCTGTTGTGTACATTCCCGTCTAAGGAATGCGAATGGAATTGTGAAAGAAAAACATCTAGACACCGAACAGTCTGTGGTTCACTTTACCGGGCAACTATGAATTAGTTTGTCGACGTTTTCAGCGGTGCAGTCACGGGACGAGCCACGGTAGGCTGTTTGTTTTCTGGTGGATAGCTAGCCGGCTAACTTGCTGGCTAACCAAACGTAAAGGGTGTTGGGTGACGCGAGATAAACAAACATACGGCAGTTAGTTCACTTATTTTATTCGCAGGTCTTCGGTACGGTGTCAGACATTAACCAACACACGGCAAAGTTATACGTTGGCAAATAATTCATTCTCAAATTCCGCCGGTCTCTGAACAACAACTAGCCTGCTGGCTAACGTGAGAGACGTTTCTGTCTCTCCATCCTTTGGAAATAGTCTCCCTACTGAGTTAGCCAGGTCAGTAACGTTACATATTACCTACTCTGTAATATTATCGAATATTCCTTAGTCATTTTTCCCATATGAATAACCTGAAATTCCTAAATTGCCGTGCAGAGGAATTCTGATATGAACGGGTTTTTCTGCATGCCACTGGCTTAGCTCGGTATAAACACAGCATACATAGCTGGTAAGTCATTGCTGAGATTTCTCCTCCCGTGAGCCTAAATGTGAGATATACATCTACATAATAACGCTGAATAACATACGTTACGACTTCAGTTTAAAAAGAAATCGTTATTTATTTAATAAATACGTTTTAGCTGTCTGACCACTTTGAGAGTCGCCCACCTGCCCGCTTAATTATACACCGATCAGGCGTAGCATTATGACCTCCTCCTTGTTTCTACGCTCATTGTCCATTTTATCAGCTCCACTTACTATATAGGTGCACTTTGTAGTTCTACAGTTACAGACTGTAGTCCATCTGTTTCTCTGCATACGTTGTTAGCCCCCTTTTACCCTGTTCTTCAGTGCTCAGGACCCCCATGGACCCTCACAGAGCAGGTACTGTTTGGGTGGTGGATCATTCTCAGCACTGCAGTGACACTGAAGTGGTGGTGGTGTGTTAGTGTGTGTTGTTCTGGTCTGAGTGGATCAGACACAGCAGTGCTGCTGGAGTTTTTAAACACCTCAGTGTCACTGCTGGACTGAGAATAGTCCACCAGCCAAAAATATCCAGCCAACAGCGTCCTGTGGGCAGCGTCCTGTGACCACTGATGAAGGACTAGAGGATGACCAACACAAACTGTGCAGCAGCAGATGAGCTATCGTCTCTGACATCTACAAGGTAGGAGTGTCCAATAGAGTGGACAGAGTGTTTAAAAACTCCAGCAGCACTGCTGTGTCTGATTCACTCGTGCCAGCACAACACACACTAGCACACCGCCACCACGTCAGTGTTAATGAGCGTAGAAACAAGGAGGTGGTCATAATGTTACGCCTGATCGGTGTAGTCCCATCAGAGAGAGAGAGAGAGCCGTTTGGGTTATATTTAGTGGGAGACACGTTTGGTTTCTGTCTTTAAAAGATTAACATTAATGTTGAATGTTGTTAGACAAAAAGACCATTTCATTCCCCTCACTAAACATCTGACAGTAATATTGAGAGTAATGAGTGTGTCCGATGCTGTACGGTGCCTGCCTGACTCGTTTCACTGTGATTTGACTCCTCGTCAGGAATGTAGAATCGTTTCTCTTTCCCGAAGGCCTCAGTTCAACTTCATTACTGTTCAGTACCCTCAGTGAAATATCAGTATTATAGCCGAGGTGAAATAGGAAAATACTCAATGGAAAAGACTTTACAACTCCGCAGAAACTTTGTTTTGTAACAGCCTCTTAGAAAAATAAATAAGAAATCAAAAGAATTTTCCAAAAAGTCTGCATAGTTACACTAAATAGTTAAGATGTAGAGTAGTTTAATGTGATGTGGTGCATTGTAGAGAAATTTACTGGCTCTTTACAATAGTGGTGGCAGGAACCAGGGGACATAATGTTTACAATGCAAATATTGGCATTTTATTTACTGTCCAAAACGACCAGTGAACCTACACACCTCTTCTGAGTTTTTATTTGTATTGTTGATAATAGTAAACCCATGATAAAAAAAGGTTTCTTTAGTGACTATTTTGTCTTAAAACAGCCTGCATGTACCTTCTGCTGTTAATAGACTCGGTTTTATGCGAAACTCTTGTCTAAAATGTATTGTAAAACAGTATATCACACATCAGGCAGCGTATTTTTAACCATTTCATGTAGTATCTGTCTGTGAAGCAGCTTTTAGAGACATTAAAAACACTTCAGATGTTTGCTTAATATGACCACCACTGTAAAAAATTCTGACTGTGTAAATTTCTCTAGAATCCACTCTGAATGTTTCCAACCATTTAATTGTGCAGAACTTATGACAAATTGGTTAAATTTCCTTTTAGCTGGCTAGTCAGTAATATATATAGCAATTCTACTTAAAGGGGAACTCCACCGATTTTGCAAAATTACTTAATCACTCAATGGTTTAGATGTGAACTAAGTCATTCAGAGTGGTTCGGTGTGAAATGCGCTTTTCTAGAGAAATTTATGGAGTCAGAATTTTTTACCATTATAATACTAGGAACCAGAATCTGACACATATAATGACTCTGAAAGCTACATCCCATTAAGTTATTACACACAATGGTTATGAATGCATGGCTTGATACCTGAGGTATCTCCAGGTTTAGTTTCGTGTTTCCTCTAAAAACCAATTGAGTTCAACTGGGATCAGTGTGCACAAGCTAACGTGCTTTTGTTGTAACGCCAGCAGCTTTTGTTTACAGATTACTTTTACGGTTTTCTTGCCTATTTTGGAAGATTGCAGAGCATTCGGAGGAGGTCTGTTTCCAAAATGCTGTAGATCCATATCAATTTGAACCAGAAAACACGAAGGACCTGCAGTTTATAGATGGTGTCAACAACAAGCTACTTGCTTATATATATATATATATATATATATATATATATATATATATATATATATATATATAGATATATAGATATATATATAGATATATAGATATAGATAGAGAGAGAGAGAGAGAGAGATACATACATACATACATACATACATACATAGATATAGCTAATATTTGCACGGTGGATAACGACGACTAATTTATTTAGTTCATGAACGCTTCTTACTTTGATTCCAGTTTCTGCAGGAGTGAAACTACGGGTGTGTAAACCTGTGGCTCTGCAGTCTGACTGTTTTCCAAAACGTGCCCAGTGCAGAGAGGTACATGCAGGGCATTGTAAGGAAAAAAAAAGTACCCAATTTTTTCATTTTAGCAATATTTTACCATTATCACTATGACATATAACTTACAAGACACATGTAAGTTCACTGTTCATTTTGGAGAGCAGATAAAATTGTGACATTTGTAGTGTAGACATAACGACGTCTGGTTCCTAGTACTACAATGATGAACAATTCTGACTCGGTAAATTTCCCTAGAAAGGCGCATTTCACACCAAACCACTCTGTATGATTTTGTTTACATCGAAACCGTTAAGTGATTAATTCATTTTGCAAAATCGATGGAGTTCCCCTTTACGCTGTTGCTGTAATTATTATTGTTATGACAGTGTAATCCAGAAGTTATATCACATCATTTACTCTTTGTCAGTCAGTTGAGCTTTGTTCCATAACGTGTCTTTGTTACATCTTCTGGTGTACGTTACAGGGCTTTGGCCTCATTATGTGTGCCTCAGTGAAGTACAGCTCTCGGGGCCCTGCTCTGATACCCCGCATGAAGACCAAGCACCGCATCTACTACATCACCCTCTTCTCCGTCGTGTTGCTGGGGTTGATTGCAACTGGGATGTTCCAGTTCTGGCCACACTCGATCGAGTCCTCCCCAGAATGGACTCTTGACCGTCGCAGTGTGCACGATGCTCCGCTGGTCAAGCTGCCCGTGTCCAGCCCTATTCCTGAGCGGGGAGACCTCAGCTGTCGCATGCACACCTGTTTTGATGTCTACCGCTGTGGCTACAATCCCAAAAACAGAATTAAGGTGAGATTAGAGCAAATCTGTCACAGTTGTTTCAAGTTCAGGTTTATTCTTCTATCTTATTTAATCACTGTAACACAAGAGGAAGTGTGTTATTGTGAATAACATCACAGCTGTGATTCGTTCACAGACATGAGCTGTAATATTATTAGTTAAAAGCAATATTTCTATTGTTTTCATACGACAGTTCTGCAAAATAAAGAGAAAAGTAAAGCGAAGAAACTGGATGTTGTATCAGTTAATAGTACTTTAATATTAGCAATGCCTTCTGCCCAAAAAAGTAGTAGCCTTTTTCATTATTAGAGCCACAAATATTGTTGTAGTATCAGGTTCAGCTCAGCTTTTTTCAATATTTGACTGGCTAAAACAGTGGAATCGTCCATTAGTAACTTTTGATGAGTTTTCACTTGATATGTTTATAATGTAATGCTTCATTTGTAAACTTGCTGAGCTTTGAACTTGTATGTCCAGGTGTATATCTACCCTCTCCAGCGGTTTGTGGATGAGGTGGGAGTGCCTATCAGCAGCACTGGTCTGTCCCGGGAGTATAATGACCTGCTGAGCGCCATCTCGGACAGTGACTTCTACACGGATGATGTCACACGTGCATGCCTGTTTGTCCCTTCAATTGATGTGCTTAACCAGAATTCCCTGCGTATCCGGGAAACGGCCCAGGCTCTAGCCATGTTACCCAGGTACACGACATAATCCTGTTTACATTACTCTGTTTTAAGACATCTAGGCTGTGTATCCGTGCATATGAAAATGCTGTAATAGGAAGAGTCAAATTTGCTTATTTATTTGGTGAATACAGACGAAAATAATTGGATGAATTTTGGAAATCTAAATAGTGCGTGCTATGGATGGGCATCATTTGAAACCATTTGATATCATTATCTTAGCTATTATATGCTATATCATCTACATCTACTGCATGTTCAGCCTTTCCTATCCAGTGCTCAGAACATTTCATGCATGCAGAAACCTGTTGAATGACCTTTAAAACTACCAGAGCATTTCAAATCGAGTAGTTTTAAAAGTATAACGAAGTAATAGAGCCAAGGATTTATTTCCACTTTCTAGCTCCAGATTTTCAGCTGTAGCTTTAGATAAATAGTTTTTCCGCCCAGCCTAGAAAACATGGAATTTATATGTTAGTTTTTGAGTCATAAAAAACACCTGGAAAATATGAAATGTGATGAAATGTTATAGAGATATTGCGAAAATGGTGAAGACACTGGAAAAGTGTAAAGTTGGTTTAGTGAGACACTGAGATTGCATATTTCAGCGTATTTGTCTGTGAGTCACACTAGCTTAAAAAAAAGAAATAACTTTATGTTACTGCTCAATGAATTAATTCCTTCTTCCACATTGTCTTCTTACCACGAGTAAAAGAGCGCATTGGAGCGAAAGTTTCAGTGTGCTAAAAACATGCGCTTTTTTTCTTCTGTAAAAATTAACTCTGTGTAAAATTTTGATATCATGCCTGTTATTAATAATTATGAGGGACGCATCAATCATGATCCTGATTTCTTTACAGTGACATTAGCCTTCTTTTCAATCTGAAGCTCGCATTGTGTGGGGCAGTTGAACACAAACACACATTTCCAGTGCTTTTTATTGGCCAAACGTGCAATATAAACAAGCATTATTTGCTCACGTTATTTACGTCATAAAGTGGCAACACAAGTCCCTAATTTCGATACCTAATTCTAGCATCCTTTTGTACTTGTAGCTTGGAAGGTTACAGTGTCACAAGGTTAGAATGTTTCGTAGAGCCTGGTTTAGCATCTCTGCATCTCGATGGGCAGTGAAGCCTGGTGGATTATATTTTGGTGCTTGACAGACTTGTCGTCTAGTTTTGTAAGGTACTGCTAGATCATTGACTTCAGTCAGTCAGCCACATTTACATAATAATGAGGTAGCAGTTACCCTTTTACTCTGGGCTTCATATATGTTGTATTTATTTTCTGCAAAAAATTCGAGACACCTCAAAATCGGGAAGAGTAGCAACAATTGCCGTTGTGTTCAGGAACGTCTACAGCTGTCCTACATATTCATTTTGTCTGCCTGTATGTTTTCAGGTGGGACAAAGGGATGAATCACTTACTCTTCAACATGTTACCAGGGGGACCTCCAGACTACAACACAGCCTTGGATGTGCCCAGAGACAGGTTGGTCCCACAAAGTGGAGGTTGTTCAGGGCTTGATGTTTTTCTTTGGACAAAAAAAAAGTGGAATTCAGCAAATAAACAGCAATTTTAATAAAATGTACAGGAGTGTGTTCTCTGTAGAGGACATGAACTTATTTTCACTTAGAAAATCAGCAAAACAATTTGACCAGGGGTACCCAAACTTTTGCATATAACTGTACTTCAGTAATGAATGTGCCACCGGTATAAATGGTATATATAAGCAATAGAACCCGAGCGGGAGTGTGTTATCACGGAATAGCATCACAGCTGTGATTTGGTCGCCGTAGATCATCACAGCTGTGATGTTATTGGCGATAACACACTCCTCGAGTGTTCTAATGCTTTTATACAACAGTTAAATAAATACAGTAATAAATTAATAAACTGGGCCGTGAACGCGGCGTTTAATATGTTTTAATGTTCGCAGTTCCTTCACCAAATTATAGTTCCTTAACAGGCAGCTTGTTGCTGCGTCAGAGTAACGAGCTCCGCCCACTCGCTGCACAGTCTGCTGTAAGCCTCGCCTTTTGAAGTATAGACTGAGCCATAAAACTGCCGCAATATCAAGTTCAGCTCAGTTTTGTCAGTTTTTGCCAGATCAGTATTAATGTTGTTTTGTTCCAGCCAGTCTGTAAAGCATCTTACAGCCCATTTAGTTTGGCGAATGGTGTTGGGTTCATTTCTGGCTGATTCCAGGTTGTTTAGCTGGTCTTCTGTCACAGCTGCCGACTGAAAAGCTGCTCAGTGGTGATGACAGTTTGGGAATTTAGTGTCGTCTCGTCTTCAGAGTCTGACCAAATCGGCTGTCGGTCAAATGTGATCTTAAAAGTGTCCATTTTCTGTTTGTGGCAAAGTAAGAAGTAAAAACGTTCAAATGGCTCGAGCGTCTCCTGCAGCGGTCAAAGTCGTTGCTTAGCAACGGCGTCTCAGCGGAGTGATACAGTGTTTGTGAAAAACCGCTTCTCAACCAATCAGCTTGCGTGGCCGGGACAAACTGTTGTATGATCAAAATTGTAATGTGTCTGACGATTATACAGTGACACAACCAAGCTCTGTTACCGATCTTTAGTAGAATTTTAGTAGCATTTTATCAGTGAACACCTGTTACAGACAGAAATGGGACAGCTTATAGTAGTGGATGTATTTTCTGGCCCATGACAAAAGGAACGTTCTCCCAAAATCGCCGGTGAGATTCTGAATTCTGAGAATTCTGAGGCAAAATCTGTCATTTTTGTTTGAAATTGTTTTAAAAATATATAGTTCTGAAGGGTAACTCCACCATACTTTGAAATATTGTACCATAAGCAGTTCTCAAAATGTTTTCTCAGTAGTGCTGTAATAACAAAGCTCAAAGTTAAAGCTAGTTTGTGTGAACATCCCATTTTGATTTAGTAACACGGAAACATTTACGTTAAAAATAGCCTACATTTGATCCGACTTACAGCTGGTGCAACCGGCCCTGGAACTCTAGATGATTTGACAGCACGTCTGCCTCCCATTATCATGTAAATGTTTCACTGTTGGTTGAGTGGTGAGGCATATGGTGAGTTGGTTTAACTCCTAGTACCCAGTGTCTGTGCCTGTGACCCAGTTACGTTTGCATACTTAATCATCCTTTTTTTGACTGTCATTAGGTCTTCCTGAAAAGACCTGTTTTTTTGGCTTTTGACGTGAGTGAAATACAAGTGTAATTACTTTGCAGTTCCGGGTGTGCAGGCGGCTGTGGTTCCTGACGGTCCACATTCCTCAGTTTAATTAAAATCTGTTCATTCAAATAACTGGTGTTCAATTTCAGATTCACAGCTACAAATAAAAAATGTGTGTTTATGTACACCATGATATAACATGTACATCAGGTACCTCAGATATAACATTATGACCACCTCTTGTTTCTACGCTCATTGTCCATTTTATCAGCTCCACTTACTACATAGGTGCACTTTGTAGTTCTACAGTTACAGGCTGTAGATCCCACTCGTACCAGCACAACACACACTAACACACCACCACCACGTCAGCGTCCCTGCAGTGCTGAGAATGATCCACCACCCAAATAGTACCTGCTCTGTGAGGGTCCATGGGGGTCCTGACCACTGAAGAACAGGGTAAAAGGGGGCTAACAAAGAATGCAGAGAAACAGATGGACTACAGTCTGTAACTGTAGAACTACAAAGTGCACCTATATAGTAAGTGGAGCTGATAAAATGGACAATGAGCTTGGTCATAATGTCATGCCTGATCGGTCTATATAGTATATGCCACCAGACACAGTAATGCCACTCAGTATCGTAACATTATTACTGTAGTACTGTATATTAAACCCAGACCACAAAATCTTCTAAAACTAAGGTCTTTTAAGACAGACAAATGCTAATTGTCTGTTTTCACCTCGGCTAATGTTACTACACTACTCACATCGTATTTCACCTTTTAGCTGGCAGTCATGAAGAGTTAGTTAGATAATACCAAACCAGTTTGATACCAAAACCAAAAGTTTCATAAATTAACAATGTTTTATTCTATTAAGTCTTTCTCAGCATGAGTGTAAAAATTTAGTTCATTTTCTTTTTTATCTGTGGCTTTTATGCAGCGCTTCCTGTGTGCTACAGCTTTGCTTAGTACTATTTGCTACCCAGCACCAGAGACCTGGCAGTGCAGTGCGTAGCTTCTTGGCTGGTGTGTGGTAGCCTTTAGCCAGCTGTAGTGTGCTTCCTTCTTGGGACTAAACAATTAAGAAACAGCTTTGCAGTGCCCTCTGGTGGAACATAAAGTCCAAAAATCTCATAGTTTTTCCATATGAGCGTGTATAACTTTAAAGAGAACAGAATTTGCATATGGAAAACCCTGATTTACTATTATTATTGCTTTTTTAAAACATTCACGACCATTCAAAACAGACAGACTATTCAGGGGACATGGTATTTATACACAGATGCATACTTTACTTTCAGTCTATGAAAAAGGATATGATTAAGTTTATTAATTTATGATTATTCCCATCATTTTTTCACCTAGCCAGCTGTGCAAAGGAGTTTGTTCCTCAAGCTATCTCTTTCCTTTGATTTTGTAGTATTATGCATTCCATTTCCAATGCTTTTGGATATATATATTTGGGATGGAGGGAAAACATGTAAGTGTTGAATGCTTCAGGCCACTAGAGGGAAGCACAGACTTACACTTCATCTTTCTCAAATGCAGCTGGAGAACTGTAGGGAAATTACAAAGCACTTCAAGCATACTGTATTTCATATGTCTAGGTATATGCTGTATTGACTCTTTGTCCAATTTTAAACATGGCTCTTCTAGCCAAAGACTGGATAAAGCTGGCCCTTTTTTGTTTCGCTGTTGTCGGAAGAAAACCTTGTATCTCCAAAATGGTAACTTTACAGGAGAAGGAAAAAACCCTACTCTACTTTTAATGTAAGTCAATAAGAACCAAAAATTTTTCCAAGTCATTTTGGGCCGTTTCTGTTGGTCCTTTCTTCATAAAGTTTACACACAACATAAAGGCCAAAAGGCATTTTCAAAATGTGTCAAAAACTGAAAAATGACACAAATGGACATACGAGGTTTCTTCCGACAGCAGCGATTTGCATGTCCTTCCTCTGTTCTTTAAAGAAGTTGCGAGCAGGTTATCATATTCAAAATGATAGATTCACATGATGGTAATGTCTATAAGCTTAAGCAAAAATTTGGTTTTACAGTTTCCTTTATACATCTTTGCATTTCCTTCAGCAATTTAATTTCATAGTTTAATTTATGGTCTGTGACAATATACAGTGGCTTCCATGTGTTACTTGGGAAGCGGCATATTCCAAATCGAGATCAAAGGTGCAGCTAAGAGCAGCCATGAAAGGGGGACAGCTCTCTTGTGCCTAGAGGAGACATACATAATCTCCAGGTATTTACTTCTATATAGGCCATGTTTCCCAGCCTCTCCCTTGGCAGCCCTCTTGTTTTGGGTGGAAAAGGTGAGTTTTATGTACTAGAAAGCCCTGAAACGATGAACACTTATCTGGAGCTGTAGGGAATTTCCTGGGCTCATCCAGCTGTGCTCCATTTGGCGTGCAGCCTCATCAGAACCAGCTGCTAGCGTGTGCATGTGTGTGGGTAGATAAAAAGACGGCGTATGTTGCGTGTCCATATTCGCAGCATTCTTTTCACTTGCTATAGTTCAGTTTTGTAATCAGTGTCCTGTATCACAGTTCATGTTAGTTTAAGTTTAATTGGTTTAATTTAGTTTGAGTGAGAATGCATAGCAGCAGTAATGAAACCAAGGAGCGTTATAAGAACATGCTCACACGTTTTGCTGCAAACACTCGGATGCTCTGTCAGATGTCAGCCGTAAAAAAAAATAGTATGGCCTTATGAACTTTGTTTCTCAGCAGTAAAAGTTTGATATGCTTTTTGTTGCCCAGAGCTTTACTAGCTGGGGGAGGTTTCTCCACATGGACCTATAGACAAGGCTATGATGTCAGCATCCCTGTGTACAGTCCATTGTCAGCAGAGGTTGACCTTCCTGAAAAACAACCAGGGTGAGTTTTTGTCCAGTGTGCCTTTTCTTCTCTTCGTTTGCTTGCTTCATCCATTAATCATTTAGAGCAGAGCCAGGTCGTCATAACTTCTTATGCTTGTTTTCAGGCCCCGGCGCTACTTTATCTTGTCCTCTCAGACAGCCATTCATCGAGAGTACCGCACAGAGCTGGAGAGACTGAAAGAAGAAAATGGAGAGGCCCTGCTCCTTTTAGATAAGTGCAGTAACCTGTCTCAGGGCATGGCCTCGGCCAGGAAACGCTGCTACAAGGGCCAGGTGTACGACTACCCCCAGATCCTACAGGTGAGGGTCGAGCCATAACCAGTAAATCAGTAAAGCAATGCTTTAAGTGTTTCTTCAGTGATGTTCTTTTTCCCAGGTTACTATTATTAAAAATAGTAAAATGCCTTAATGGTTTAGCTTGTAGTTTAGAGAAGCCGTCCCAGTGGGCCAGGAAAATTAGTCTGCATTTGAATTAACATTGCAATCTTGAATTTTTTTTTATATATATGTATGAATTTCGCTGTTGTCAGAAGAAAACCTTGTATCTCCAAAGTAGTAACTTTACAGGAGAAGGAAAAAACATACTTTACTTTTCATGTAAGTCAATGGAACCAGATTTTTTCCCATGTCATTGTGGGCCGTTTATTTTAGTTCATTCATCATGAAATTTACACACAATGTAAAGGCCAACAGGTCTTTTTAAATGATGTCAAAAACTGAAAAACGACTAAAATGGAGATATAAGGTTTTCTTCTCACAGCAGCGATATATTATCACAAAGCCTTGCCCTCATTCTGTTGTTTTTTATTTTATCTTCATTCTGTATGTTTATTTTAAGGTGATTTTGTCATACAGGATAAACTTTGATATGAAATTAGTGGTTTAGTGGTGATCTTTGCCAACCCCAGCACATGTATCTCTTGGTATAAGCTGCCATAATAGCTGTGGCTGTCCGCGGTGCATCTCCTGTCCAGCCCTGTCTAGACAGGAAGCATGCTTATCATGTGGACTGGGTGCAGCAGCACATCTGGGAGATGTTCCACAGGGGAAAGGGCCTGCAGGGGGAGGAGCAGAGGCCCAGCGTCTGCAAGAGCACCCTCCACAGTCAGGACGTAACCCAAATCTGATTTACCTTCCACCCGCTTTTACTTGGCATGTCAAGCGTAGCCCACATTGCCAACACAGGTTATTCTCAAAGAATAGTGTTGCATTGTGTAGAAATGACTGTGGGCCTCCGCTTTAAGTAGAACAAACTTGTTTGTTAGTGAGTCATTTAATGCATCTCTGCTGATTGTGTTGTAGGAGTCGTCTTTCTGTGTGGTGCTGCGTGGAGCTCGACTTGGGCAAGCCACTCTGAGTGATGTGCTGCAGGCAGGTTGTGTTCCCGTCATCATGGCAGATTCCTATATTCTGCCCTTCTCTGAGGTGCTGGATTGGAAAAGGTATAATCATCACGTGTCTTGCAGAGATGGGTAATATGGAGCCAAATTCATTTTCCACTATTTGGACAATAATTATTTGATATCATTATAACCAAAAATAAAAACAATAATAATTGATAATATTAAAACAACAGATTCTTCTCTTTCTTCTTCTCTTTCTAACGGGTTTTACATGCTGATTCTTCCTTCCTCATCTTCCTCAACGGTTACACTGTATTTACTTTGTCCAATAGAGTGCAGCCAAAGAGTAAAAAGAGAAGTTGCTCCATAATATTCTGTGGCAACATGACTTGTAACGGCAAAACGGAAGATTCCTTGATGCTTTTGCACTAACTCTTTCTATTGGCATGCTGCAATTGGAGAGCAGCCAAAAACAGACCTGCTTCATATATGCTACCATAGAATGGAGATCAAATAAGTCCTGGTTGTGTAATGTCTTTTTACACTGATGCAAACATTTTAAAAGTTTCTGATCCGGACCCTTTGCCATTTTTCTCCATTCTGTTCCTGTGGTGTTTTCTTTCTATACGTCGTTTTCTCAGACGTAGGTTAAGCATAGTCTTACACTACACTGCAGTACCAGTTGTGAATCTCTATTGGTAATTCTTTTTAGTCTAGGCTGAAACTTATTTGAAACTGAATTTGGCCCAAAATGATAAGTTATCATTTTGCGGTTTGCAAATATTTTTAGCCTGTGAATATTTAGTAACACTTTACTGTAGGGCACTGTCCATAAGGCTACATGACACCTACATACGCTTGTCATATCAACTGACAGAACCCTACACAAACGTTTATGTATTTACTTATTCTAATAGGCGTCATTCGTTATAAAGGTTACATTAGCCAGTTTTGATCAAAGTTAGCTAAAGTAGCGTTTGACAGATGACACCTATTGTAATAAGCATTTCTAAACATTTATGTAGGGTTATGTCAGCTGTCAAGACAAGCTTATGTAGGTGTCATGTAGCCTTATGGACAGCACCCTACAGTGAAGTGTTACCAAATATTTTAACCTTCTTTTTTTTCTAAATGTAAGATTAATTCACACTTTCCTGGAAATAGAAGTTAGCGTACTTTCTGCCCGAGTGCTCTTTTGTGGAGTTTAAAAGATTTAGCTGTTCGTGTTTAAATCGTCTCAAGGCTGTAGCTCCATTTGAGCTTGTCACTGTATCTACAGTACAGTAAATACTCTGTCATGAGGCGACAACATACTGGCATTCACTTTTATACACTTTATTCCAGAGCAAGGCTTGTAATTCAGTAGATATTGTATTTTATAGTAATTTGTGATATATTTTTTTTAATTTGTACGTTTGTGTTTTCAGGGCATCCGTGGTAATTCCTGAAGAGAAGCTGCCAGAGATGTACACAATTTTAAAAAGCATTCCTCACAGACAGGTGGAGGAAATGCAGAGACAGGTAAAAAAGGTTGTTGTAATGCATGAAAGTGTGTGTGGGGCAGATAAGCAATCACCTCAGTTTAGAGGGAAAGCTTTTAAAAAATATCTTGTAACTGTCGATACAGTGCAGTGGGTAAGGCCTGCATTTTGCATGGGGGGGGAGAAAGCAAACCACAACTAATCATCAGTGTAACAGTTCCTAACCAGTGCCAAATGCTGTTGAAACGTAAAGCACAGTGTAGTTGGCCTCACTGACAGAAGTGCAAGCTGTCATCTCAAGTTTAATACAGTGTGAAGGTAAGGGTAAAGGAGTCATGACCTCTAGTCTGCTGCAGTAACATTCCTCTCTGTGCTCCTTCAAAATGTGTCCGCCTCAATGGAGTGTTAGTTCCATTGTGAACATAATACACTTAGACAGACGGGCTGGTGCCAAAAATAATATGCCTTTAAGTATGTGCTTTTGATTTTCTGAAGATGTATTTTCTTCTACTGTACTTAATAATGATAAAAGGCAATTCTGACAATCTGTGATATACTTTTATCAAAGCACGTGGTTAACCACACAGTGTGTTTTGTGTATTTGTTTAACCTTAACTTTATGCCCGTTGCCAAAGCGAATGAATGTGAAACGCTTTGTTCAGTCCATTCAGTTACATCGCCCAAAGAAGAGATGCAATAACTATTTTTATTCAGTACTTGTCAGACAATAGTTCCCTCGACACTGTTAATGTAAATGAGCTAATCGCTCTTTTTGATGAAGAGGTTTTATGTTCTTTTAATGTGTGAGTACAGTGCTGAGGCCCAGCTCCAGTGTTGCAGCAGGATAGAGATAACTTACTCAGGAATTATGATGTATTGTGATACTGTTAGCTATAATTCATCATCCCACACTTGCGCTTATTAGTTCTTTTTTTTTCTCCCCTTTCTCCCTCGTGTCAGTGCATAAAAAAGAAGCAGCTCAAATATAATTGCTGACTTTATTGGTGCATAAACTTGCATCCTTATACATGCCTCGGTCACATAAATGTTTTTAGCACCATGAGGAAATTCGGTGGCTTTAAGGAAGAATTGTGCCATTTCATTTTTCACCAACAGAGGGTGCAATTGCCTATTTTCTCCTCGTCGTGCGACGTTCAATATCCAAGACTTCAGGCAAAGTCACCACTGTATTTGTCACGGTCCCTTGTTTAGAGGTTGCATGTTTCATAGAACTCTAGCACCCATGATCAACTCTGTAAACGCGCTCTTTTAAGATGTGTGGTCTGGTCTCCTTTTGTTAACTGTAATTTGTGGTGCCCTAAGTGATCTTCCACTTCTTTAAGATGGTCGCACTGCTGCTTGTGATGTCGTAATTGTGGTGAAAAAGAAAACGGCCTGCCTCTGTAAGCAGTAGCAATATGCATTTATAGCAGGAAAACCACCTTGTTTTTGCATTTGAGGAGGCAGCACTGATTTAGGTTAAACAATTTGTTAGCTAAGTGCTAAACAGCTGCTGGATGTTAACAGCGGTCCAGATTGGCTTCTCAGCCATGTTCTACAAAATGTGCTGGAGAGAAACTTCCTAGAGCATTGTTTGGGTCAGCCCTTTAGAATAGAACCCATACGCGCCTCGTTAGGGAGGGGTAGGAGTCCGAGTCAATCAAAGCACTGTGGCGCTGTGCTGCAGTAATCCTGTGTGAAGCCATGTAAGAGCTTTGGCTGAATGGTGCTGGAGACAGGCAGGGCAGACAGGAATGACTTTCTCTCACAGCGCTGATATTCGTGGGGTGTAGGCTTGCATGTTTTCTTCATGACATCGAGGGACTCAGAGTTGTGGTTTTAAAAATGCCTCACCCATAAATAGACCTTTGCAAAAAAATGACTGTAAAACAAATATTTATTTACTCTTCTTTAAAGAATACGTGCCCTGCAGTCCTCTTAAACATGATAATGTAATATTCTGGTTTAATTATTTGCAACAATCACTGTTATCTTGTGCGTTAAAAATGTAGTCGTTGTAATGGGATGTTAGGGTCCTTACAGGACAGTTGTTGTGAGATTTGAGAGTTTTATGTGCCTGTGACTGTGACAGAAGAGCAGTCGGTTCTCTTGCTTCTCATGCAAGCCTCTCTCTCTTCCCTCATAAAAATTCTTGCTGGCGTTTGAATGGGGCGGGTTCGAAACTTAGTGGGTGCGGTTTTCTCTCCCTCCTCCCGGTCGGAAAGGAAACTTTCATCACGGGCTGATTTATGGGCGGCTGCACTCCCCCTGGGATCAGAACGGTTTTTTGAATCCTCTTCCCTTCTCCATAAAAAGAAAAGCTGTTTTTGTGTTGTTGTATTTCTAAAGCGTTTAAGGGCCAGCCCCGCGGGGGCCGTGAAGGGGAGAGGAGAGAGCGCTCCCCTAATGTGCTGCTCGGAGCTCTCTGTAGACCATATGACAACAAACATGCCAGTCAATAAAACGATCTGCTCGACGACGAAAGGAACCTGTGGGCAGAGAACACCATTGACCTCAGCCTCACACCACAGGACCCCCTCTTGATCTAGTGTTTGGTGAAGAGTTATTACTTTCACTACCAGCTTTTTCCTTTTTTAATCTTTTTATTTCTCGGTGAATTAAACTCCTTTATTTTCTCTTTATTCCATTACATGAAAGGAACTGTACGCTGCATTTTAGCTATGTCAATCATTGGAGGTGTTCAATTGCAAAGCCCTTCCATATGCCGGACATTGAGCTGGGCTGAGGCTCGACCTCAAGCTGATGTTAAAGAGTGTGGGGTCACGCAGGACCCGGCGTAGTGGAGCTAGGTCACTGTGGCATGGAACCTCCTAGCAGGAGATAACACTGTTTTATGGGTAATTAACTCTTATGGACTCCTCTCCCTGCACAGTGGGGCTTTGAATTTGTTAATGGATTAACAGAAGTGGGCTGAAAAGACAGGCTCTTGTAGCAACACTGTTTCACTAAGTTGACAATGCTCTCAAGTTTCAAGGCAGTAATTTTCGTGAAAGTTCGTGAAAGTGCTGTATTAGATTAGGTGTTATGTATGAATTGACTGATGCCAGATTTAGGGTGTTTATTAGGAATGTCTTTTAGGAAAAACATTTTAGGAATGTACAAAATTTTGTCTGTGACAGGTAGGGAGGCCATTTTAACGATTTCTGGTATTTTAATATCTACATTTTTAAACAAATGTAATTTAAATACTCCAATGAAAAAATATCATATTGTTATCAGAAAGAGAAAATGCAGTCTGTTACTTGCAGCTAGCATAAGAGACCAGACCTGACGATTTAGGCCCAATCCCATTTCTTCTTTTTACCCCTACCCCATTTTCAAGTGTCACCCTAACCCCTTGGAACTCAATTCCAAGTAGTGGTTGAAATCTTGCACTACGAAATGCGACAACCCTCAAATGGGGAAAAAAAACAAAACAAAAAAAAACATTACTTCATTAACAGCTACTAGTGCTGCTCTGTAGGCAAACTGGCCCGCCTTCAGTGAAAGCAGAAGAGGGTAAAGTTCAGCTCCTCACTGCTGGGCTTTGGTTAAATTCAGGGCATCATATGCCTTCAAAGAGGGGAGCAATTATTTATTATCATCCGCTGCTAATTCTTCAGTGATATGAAGCTGAAGTCAGATATTCACCAGGTTCTTGTTTGAATTTTCCCGTTCCACCTTAAATGGCAGCAGTTGCATTGTGGCGCCTCAGGTGTCAGAACTGCTGGACTATTTAAGGTGGAACGGGAAAGTTAGCTAGCTAGCTACCGAGACATTAGTATGCTATTAGTGATTTTTTTTTTATGCTTGTTATGAAGAAAATGACCATAAAACATTGAACTAAGATAATATGATGGTTATTGAAATTTTTAACAGAGAAAGTTCTCACATTTGTGGGTTTCTTTGGTCTCTTGTTCAGCCATCTTGCTGGTTTCTTTTTTTCTCATAACTCTCTGTTTGGAGTCTCTGAAAAACCTCCGTTTGGAGGGTCATGTAGTCCTAACACTTCGCTCTCCCCCTCTATCTCAACAAAAATCGGGACACCCTACTCCTAGACGTGAACGTGCACAACAGAGGGCTAAGTGGTAGGGGCGAGGGGTGAAATGGGATTGGGCCTTAGTTTAGATTCATCTTTGTGTTACAGATGCATGCAGTTAAACATACCAGTAAATTTACAGAAAGGACTTTGGAGTTGCATTGTACAAATTTGTCATCATATAGCTTTGCTTATATGTTGCCATTTTGTTAACACGGCATGCGGTATTAGCTGTTTATAGGGACATTTTTTGGGATTCTGCGTTGCAGTCAAAAACATTACTTTTACAAGTCACAATTTATTGCATTACAACATGTACCTTTTCTGAATATCTGAGCAAGTAAATGAACACCAAGATGAGTTTCCCATACATTACTATATTAAAAACTGTATCCAAGTAAACACATTAATCCCAAGTAGCCAGTTCAACTGTGTTTTGATGAAAGGCAGGTACTTTGACTACAGTAAAAAAACCCTGAAAACTGGGAAAAAAATGAAAATCACCTCACACACATACATTACACGTACATACATTGTTTTAATTATCATATCTATTGTATTGTTTCTAGTTTAATGTTTTGCACACTTACAGTACAAAGTGCAAATGTGCAGATGTATTATTTTGTTCCTTGTTGCACCATGTTGTTCCTGGAGGAACGTAATTTCGCTCCACTGTGTACTTGTACATAGATGGAATAACAATAAAAGCCTCTTGATTTGACTTGAGTAAAACACTAACATTGCAGATATTAGACAGGCTGTTTTTATTTTCCACTTTAAAATACTTCCATGTTGCTGACATTTAAACCTCATTATCCTTGGAAAACACAGCTTGTCTCAGCATTTAGCACAGTTTTCACAAAACCAACTAGCATCAAACTCATTGCACAGGAGAGGACACAAGTACTGATTAAATAAACTCAAAAAACATTAGTGTCATTCACATCTTACATCACATCTGAGCAGCAGTTGCCTTGTATCTTGTATCATTCATCAAAAAGACTTGCCATTTCTTGTGGAGTCCCTCAAGGTTCAGTCTTAGGGCCTTTGCTTTTTCTCTTTGTACATGCTACCTCTAGGTGATGTCATTAGGAAGCATAGTATAAATTTTCATAGCTGCACTGACGACAACCAGTTATACATTTCCATTCCTTCTGAAGATCAAGACTCTGTAGAGAGACTAACCAGCTGTGAGTCATGTATTTCTCAGTGGATGTCACATTTTGTGCAATTAAATCATGAAAAAACTGAAATATTGATCGTTGGTTCAGAAACTCAGAGAAAAATGATTTATGAGAAACTTGGTTCTTTAGCTTCATATACCAAACCTGAAGTAGGAAACCTGGGTGTGATTCTGAGCTCTGTTTTGTCTGCATGTAAACACAGTAACTAGTAACTAAAGTAGCTTTTTATCATCTGAGAAATATCACTAAAGTTCAGCCTTTTCTCTCTCAGAGCGACGCAGAGAAACTCGTTCATGTATTTGTTACAGCAGAGTTGATCACTGTAATGATCTTATTACTGGACTTCCTAAGAAAACTATACGTCCCTTACAACTCGTGCAAAAAGTGGCAGCATCCTAACAAAAACAACACAGAGAGATCAGATCACTCCTGTTTTAAAAGAGCTGCACTGGCTGTCTGTATCATTCAGGATAGATTTTAAAGTTCTACTAGTTTTTAAAGCTCAAAATGACCTTAAAGCACTGCTTGCATCACAGAGTGTCTGTCTGTTTAGCTTCCGGCACGTAATCTAAGATCTGCAGATAGTGGCCTTTTACAAATACCCTCTGTAAAATACAGAAAACATGGAGAGGCTCTTTCAGTTGTTCTGCTTCTAAACTGTGGAACTCAATTCCACCTTTCATTAGACAGTCAACCTCAGTACTCACTTTTAAGAAGCATCTAAAATCATATCTCTTTAACTCAGTATTTAATTAAAACTCTACGTCTCGCTGTGTTTACCTTCTAATTTGATCTGTTTCATTTTCTTCTGATTCTAAATAAACACTAATGATTTCTTGTATAACTATGTTTTGTCACCTGTCTGTAAAGCTCTTTGAGCTGCCACCGGCATGAAAAGTGCTATATAAATAAAAATTGTTATTATCATTATTAATATTATTATTATTATCTGCAAATATCTAAACAGCTACATTTGTGGTAGTGTGCAACTTTCATGGCCAGAGTTAAAGAATTGAATTGTTGGCCTTGGGGTTGACAAGAAGTAATATAGCTTGACCTTTGCACTTGAGCTCTTGCCCTAGTCACACTGCAGATCTGGACCCGTGCCACTTCAGTGGAAAAGGCTGAAAGACTGATGGGCTGAAGTGCTCGTAACAATCCAGAGTGGTCCCTGCAGTCATGTCACCAGACTTTAATGGGCTGCATAGCCTTTGAAAATGTGTTGTGGGTCATAAAGACACAAGGACCATTCCACTGCTTTGGTCTCCTGCCTAATTATTTTTCTATTTATTTTTTTGACATTGAATGGTCTTGTATCGATATATAGACACTATCTCTGTGTTGCTGTTCACATGATGCCAATGCTGAAATGTTTTGCTCTCTGTTGATCTGCAGGCTCGCTGGTTCTGGGAAGCCTACTTCCGCTCCATGAAGGCTATTGGTTTGACCACGTTGCAGATCATTAACGATCGCATTTACCCCTATGCAGCCCGTACATATGAAGAGTGGAACAATCCTCCAGTTGTGGTGAGTAGGCCCACAACTGATGTCCTGTCTGTAATGTTTTAGAATTTTCCTTTTGTATATCGTCGCTGTCCAAAGAAAAACATGTATCTCCTTTTGTTGATTTTTATTTTTCTACATCATTTGAACAGCTGCCTTTTACACTATGTTAACATTTGATGATGAACGGATCAATAGAAATGCTCCAGAATCACTTGGAATAAAATCTCTTTACATTAACTTACATAGAACATTAAGAAGGTTTTTGCCCTCTCCTGTAAACTTAACATTTTGGAGATGCATGTTTTTCTTTAGACAGTGACGATATACTTTTGCATATAGATTCTCTTTAGTGTGTAAGTAATCATTTACATAAAAGAGAGTTATATTTTTATTAAGCGTTTAGGGTGAAACTTCAGGTCTAATTCAGGTGTTAGAGCAGGAAAACAAACACCAGACTATGTATTACTGTGGTTCTGTAGGACCACAGTGCGATGTCCCTGGTATAATTAGTACAGAGTTAGCAAAAGGTTTAACTTTAACGTTGAGCATGTTAATAACTAAATCAGATAAAATTTAGAAGACAAATTATGAACGTAGTTCTTGCAGGTAACCTGTGGACAGTCACATAATATTACGCTTACCGCTGCTGAAATTAGAGACAAAACAAGAACAAAGAAGAGAAGAGCATTTTGTCTGTAAAATTACAAAAAAAAAGTGAGCCTTTGTCGATCATTGTCAGTGTGCAAAAAGTTTGAGCTGTGCTTTTTTTCTATATGTTTTAAATTTCATATTCATTCAATTTCATTAAAAGTTAAAGACTTGTTTTTAGGGGTGTAATGATACAGTTTAATTATGATACTGCATTTATAATTTAGTCATTCTTACAACATGTTGAATTCTCTTGAAGAAGACTGTATCATGACTGTAACATGAACATGCTGCAGTGCCCTATTGATTCATGCTGGTTGTTTGGTATCAGTGGGTATTGGTAACCAGCCAATATCAGCAGATATTGAGTAGATATTGGAGGGGAAAAAATTATCCCCAACTAATTCGGTAACAAATTTAGCTAGCACACAGTCACATTGAGTGTGTTTACATGCGCTCAAAGATCATAATTTTTCTGCATTTATCTGATTTTTCAAATGGTCATGCAAACAGCATACTCCCGATTTCTTAGACCTGATTAAGAAATCAGATAAAAAGAGCTGGATTTTAGCTCAGTAATCAGATTTCTCAGTGCATGTAAGCTGTTACTCTGATTTCTTTCGGATTTCTCAGTCTGCGCATGTGTGAAAACAAACCACAGTACCGGAAATAAACAAGCAGCGACGCTGAAACCAATTACATGCTTGACGAAATAAAGGATTCTAGATGATGTATGTTCATATTTTCAGGTAAAGTGGCTCAGTGTTTTAAAAACAAAGCCACAGCATGACGTTTGAGGTTTACATTTTGTGACGTCTTCTTCTGTGAGTTTATTAGCCTGTTGCAAAGCAGAAATTCGATAACTGTCCAACTAATGTAGACCTGGAATTTCCCCATTATCTGATTACCCAAGTAAACGCGTTGATCGTATTACTGACAAAATCTGATTTTCTGCAGTTATCGAATTATTAAGTGCATGCAAACACACTCACTATCTGATGTATAAGGAGGTGTTCTAAAGAGTTTGGTTCACTCAAAGGTGTGCAGCAGAGGCAGATAAAGATTACGCCTAGTAAATGTCTCTGCCTGTCTTGCAGCTGCAGTTTATTCTTCCCTTCCTTATGAAGTGTGTCTGTTATACAACAGGGATAATGGAGTGTGACTGCATCAGATTCTCATCAGACCCAAATTTGTTTTTCTTATTTTGTTTTGTTTTTTAACGTTGCAGTGGCCTGATCTTAGTTTAGGGGCATTTTTTTTTTTATGTGGATCTTCTATCTTCTAAAAGAAGAGAGAGATGCTTGGTAAGAAAGTGAAAGAGACAAAGACTAGGTAAGACAAATTGTTGGACAGTGTATCGACTCCAACGCAGTTATTCTTAATGCCGTCACTGTAGTTGTGCCAGTACAGAGATGCAGACAGCCTGGTAGAGAAATTGCTGCAATGGGAGCATTAATCATCTGCGGCATCACCCTCAGTCTGAGCCTCTGAGCTCAGCACCACATGCCGAGTTTGTCTGCCAATCACCCTTTTGCTTCAGGGGTCAGGCAAACCTAATTCTGCACCACAGACGTGTGACTGTATATTTGAAATTACACTTATAATTTGATTTATCCTTCGCTATGAAAATTTGGCAAGGCATTAACCGTGCTGTTAACCAGTATTTGATATAATATCATAATCTCTTTAAGTTGTGGATAGTACTGTTCGCTTTAAAAAATCCAACATGGTCTAATAAAATCAATCTATCAAATCTGAAATGAGAGAAGTTTGCAGCTCATTAGCAGTCGCACTTGACATTGCCCTACTCTCCCATCGTTTCTCGGCCCTTTGCTATCAGTCAGCGTTACTCTGATCTTGGAGAGAGACCCAGACTCACGAAAGGTTAATTGTGCTGTGTTTCTGTCCTTTGACCATTCCAGCATTAGAGGAGAGATGAAATACTTTCTCTACATACTCAGTGGAAACACGTTGAGCAGAACTGGAACAGAGCACTAAATAAATCAAGTGCTTTTTTTCTGCCATTCTATATCCACCGGGACATAATTGAAAGCACATTTCTTGAGCTCTGCTGGTGCTTTTGGAGACGTTGTCAAGACAGGCTGCTTTTTGTGTTGCAGTTCTGAAGGAACTCGAACATAAGCACTATAAGCCAGATGCGTTGTTTATGTCCTTTTACATTTTTTTAAACTAGAAAGTACTTTATCAGGTAATTTAGAATGCATAATGTGCAGATATATAAGAAGACTCATCTAGGCTGGTCACTTCTGTTTTTTTGCCCCCCCCTCAAAAGAGTCTTGTTTTTTGGGGTATTGGGTCAACTGTGTTGCTCAATTCACCCCTACTTCCACTGCTCAAAATTAATAGTGAAGAATATCGATATTTTACACAGTGATAAACATAATACATCATATATTGTTTGCCTCTCCTGTTCATATAGATAACACTTTCATGGTTTTATTTATTTTATTTTATTTTATTTTTGCTGTCACATGTAAAAAAAAATCCACAAGAAAGGGTTTTTCTGACTGCTGTCCGGCTCAAAGTCAAAATTTTCTGGACCTGCTGTCTCTTATGCCAGTTAGAGTGCTGTATTTCAGACTAGTCACTCTTACTTGAGCTTTCACTGCCTGTCAGCATCAGTGATAGTTTGGAGGTAAATTTTTTTGTGTATAGGACTTCTGCGATTGAGCAGGCATCCACGTTTTCATCTGGGTTCCATTTTCGCCTAATCCCAAAGCTATACTAGCATGATCCCAGCTGCAGGACTCGCCAAGCCCCCTCGGCCCACATGAAACAGCCTGCAATCCCTCACCGTCACTCAAGCTGCCCGTACCTCCACTTTTCACTGTTTGACAAAAGCGTACCCAGTAACAAGGGTTTCAAGGGCAATTATATCAACCCATACTTTCGTTTTAGACATGATAATGACAAACTTGTTTTTTTTTTTTTGATAGGGTCTCTATTGCAGACAGAGTGGTGCTTGCTTATTTTATATGATCATAACTCTGATTAGTATTAATCTACCTTTCTAGGAAGGAGCTAAAAGTTCACTACCCATTTATTTCTGTGGCACGTTCCAAATAGCAGGTGAATTCAGACTGAATGCCCCAGGCAAATTTCCTGACAGTGTGTTAGATTGAAAAACACACTTCTTCTTGTTTGCTTTGACAAATTGCAGTGGCTCAGCGCACAAACTGAACCACACTGGAGCCTGCCCAATTAGGCCAAAGCTTTTTTTCAGTCCCAGACTGACTTTTAATGCACCACACCCCTGTGTTCTTCTTTATTCACTTTACCGCTTATATGTCACAGTGGTACTTTAATTATTTCCCCTCTTGCTTGTGTGTCAGTGTCAGACACTTCAAAGAAATTTCCATTGGGTAATATAGTTTCCTTTTATTAGTGGGATGGTTGACTGATGTTGAGCGAAGGATGGCTGAGACTATGGTGACAGAGCGTGGCGGACACAGCCAGGGAGCTGGTTAACCACTGGACTCGGTAGCTTGGTCTGCCTGTGAAATAGCACCTCGTCCTGCAGCCCTTGGTGTGGGGGCTTTGAACGTTTTTGCTAATCAAACGTGTTCTTTTATTTATAGATTACTGTTGTTTTGAGGGACGTTTTATTAAAGGTTCAACTTAATGCCTTGCATGAACAGATGTCAGCATCACATGCAGCCACAGAGCACAGTAAATTCTTTCGGAGTAAGGCTTAACGTTTTTATTTTTTACGTCAAGCACCCATTAAGTTATTGCTCGATTTCAATATCTGTACATGACACAAAAATGTAACCACTCATGGTAAAGGCACCTCACTTTTCAGTACTGTATCAAGCCTGTGGCCACTGACTTCTTTTCAAGCGCTGGGCTCTGTGCCTTAGTGTGCTTTGAGGAGAACACTCAGCTCTGAACTCATATACCAGTAGATCATATACCAAATTTGCCTTCCCGTCAAAAGGAAAAGCGGCTGTTTTCGTGGGGGCTTCGAGCCTTGGATGGCACGTGGCATGTTTGATGCTTGAACCTGAATCCCAGGAATAGTTTTCAGCTCTACACTGCTAAGAAGTGTTTTTTACTGGAGTGCACAGACTTTTACCAGCTCATCTGCAGGGTTTTATTAAGGCTCTGTGGCCTCTGTTAAAACCTCCATAGTGGCCTCCATAAATATCTAAATGACACTCCAAAAAGTAGTGTGTGTGCATTAAAGACCTCCTGCTCTCAAAAAGTGTTTTTAGATGGTTAATTCCACTCGTTTTAGGGTAATATATTGAGATTATATAGATTGGTATTCGTGTCAAATCTGCTACCACAGCGTAGAGTACATGTTTTCCGTTGAAAATACAGGCTTTGTCCATATGTCCAGTAAAAAAGAA